TCATACATTTCCTCACCACTTGTACATTGGAGATCAATTTTGGTTTTAAAGCTGCTGTTCGTACTTCACCTGTTCCTGTTGTATAACATGCTAAACTTGAAGTCAATGCAAAGGGTTTCCTGGGCATTGCATTTACCCATTGATATATCATGTATGTGGCATAAGCCGTGTTCAGTCATTCATACAGAGTGGAGATTTTTGAAAGATGTGACTTTATTTGATGTTTGTTACCAAGAAGGAGAAGACTTCTGTCTGCTACCATTAGAAGTAGATGTTTTTGAGAAGCAGCCTAGATTAGGCAGGCAGTTGTAGCTAGTTTTAGTAGGCACACGTCAGGTGTACGTCAGCCTATGGCAGCAACGTGCGAGAGCTTTTGCCATAACCTCTTGATGCAGAACTACACACCAAACCATACATGCTACTGAACAAACTCTACTTCACCACCGTCTCTTTGACAGGCTAAAGCCAGTGGAAAGAAGCCTCAGAAAGTCGCTCTGAAGGTTTCACCTCAGGGAATCGTTCTGTGCGACAGCTCAACCAATAAACTCCTTGAAAACGTCTCCATATACAGGTATGTGTAGAGCAGCACGTAATTTGCACGTATTTTAACTGTGTTGTGGTGCTTACAAAGCTGCTAACTGCAAGTCAGTGAGAGCCGTGTAGTGATGTAGACCTGACACGTAGCTTATGGAGCCCACGGCAAAGAGGAACTAAATCTTAGTAATGATGCTTGTCACATAATTCTACACACTGAAATGATCATGTTGGGACGACAGATTAGACCTTTGCAAAAATAATATGTTAACTATTCACCCATTTCCACACTCGTGCCTCTCGGTTGAATGTCTTCATACCCCGCTGCATACCAAAATAAACTGCAGAAGTTACTCTTTCCATTGATAGAGGCTTTTTTTTCTGACACAGTGTTGTGGTATTCTGGTTTTTGAAATCAGAGCAAATTTCTGCATTGTGTCCAACATAGCTGACATCCCACTTTATTCGATCAACATAAAATAATTAATTTGCTTTTAAAATAATGGTCAAAGATGCCAGATTTGTCTCAGTTTTTAAGTCCTGCAGTATCCCACCGTCATGGTTCTGATATTTCCAGATTCCAGACACAGTCTCCCCTACACAATTATGAAAAGATATCTCTACTGCCAGTACTTTATGGTGAGATACATAAAAAAACACAGTAACTTTATTGCATGAATATTTTATCCCTGATATAAAATCTAATAGAGAAAAAAATTGCTCATATGTCTTATCAAAGGATGGAATATCGAGACAGGCTAAAGATACAGTATGTATGGCTAGACCGTATTAAAACCAAGATGAGAACCCTAAAAGTAAAAGTAGTGAAATTACCCTGAAAATAGCCTTGGGCTCATAGGTTTAAGTATCCCGTGACCTCTGCTTGACTTCTTTGTGTGCTGCTTGTCTAACCTGTGACCCCTGGCCTACAGAATATCCTACTGCACTGTGGACAAACTGCATGATAAAGTGTTTGCTTATATCGCTCAAAACACCCTCAATGGGACCCTGGAGTGCCACGCCTACCTCTGCTCCAAGAGGAAAGTGGTGAGTTTAGAGTGTTTTTATGTTGAACTTAAAACGAGCACTTCTCAACAACTCCAAGATTAAGTCTGCCTTTCTCTGTGGTTTTTGGGGGGAATGGGCTTTAAGACTGTGGGCGAATGGTTTATTTTTGCTCTACTTACCTGAAGTCTCAGATGAAAGCCCAGATGCACTTCTTGGAGCAGCCATCATGTATCCTGTAAACTGTGGTTGTCTTTAAGTGCCTTGCCGACACCGTAGCTCTTCCTTCGCCTCGCTTCTCATCCTTAAGAGGAAACCCAAGAAGTTGAGCTCCTGTCGTCTTCCCCCCGCGTCCTCCTGTGTGCTGAAAAACAGAAGGGCACTTTTCCTCTCATCTTACCTGCCTCCACGCTCTTCCCCCTTTTTCTCCCAGGACAACATGATAATACTCCACTTCCTAAATACTCACCTCCCTCTGATTGTGGTTATACAGATAGTTCTGGTGACCTCTTTCTGTCCTCTACTGTAGCTGCTCTTCAGTCCCGGCAGAGACAAACTTGATTCATGAAAAGAATTGACTTTCATTGTAGTGAATACACTTCTTCTCTGATTAAAATACACTCCCTGTCTCTGCCCTACGAAGGGAAAAAGCAGTAATTACATATTAGGTTGAGTTAAGACCTGAATCTGGCTTTCAGACGTGCATTTTACTAAATAGAAAATTATTATGCCACAGAAATGGGTAATTTCTAGAAAGCAGCTTTTTAATCATTACAGAAAATCAGATTTTTTAAAAGTAAAGCTGAATTCACTCACTAGTGTTCTCTTGGTGACAAACAATAGATTTGACCTGGTAGCATCCTCATAATTCTGGTGGAAATCATGTAATTTGATGCAGTTGAGCTATTTTATTTTATTATTATATGTTAAATTTTGTAAATACACTTATCATATTGATTTTCTAAAGGAAACAGACCTAGTACCTGTGATCTAGTTATTGTAGTCATGAGAATAAGGCCTGTTTTCTCAAATAAGATTAAAATGGACAAGAGAACTGAAAAAGCACCTTTTGTTGGCTGACATTGTTTCATCAGGATTATCCAGAGCTAGAGCACGGCAATGATTTTTTTTTTTCTGTCAAACAATCAGCCTAAAGACACTTCGTTTTTGCCAGCCAGCCTAAAAAAACCTCTTTTCCCAGCTTCACTCCTTCTGTACTTACTGCTCTCTGCTTTTGTAGGGCAGGAGAGAAGTTGCCCCAGGTCTTGTCTTAATGAATGAATGGCATTACCTCCGTTAATCTGTTTTTTGGGTTAATCATCTTCACTCAATGTTGCAGCAATGACACGGCAAGAAACATCAAGCACTGAAGTGATCATCGTTGTTATGTGATGGTTACTACAGATCAGGGGTCAAGAGCTTACGTACTTTTTCTTTGGGAACCTCTATGAAGAGAAAACATCATTGTTGAGTTGGAACATCTTGTGCAATTGTCCTTTTGTTGAAATCTTGTTTTGCAAATCTGTCAGAACGGCACAAGTAGGTCACAAAACTAAATGTATTATCTCGTCTCTCAGCAGACATGTTGAAGATGATGCCTGCTACTCTTCTTATTTAGTCTGCACTTGTAACTGGGTGTCACTTAGGTTTGAAAACAAATGATGTCTCCTTCATTTCCAGCCAGGGCCTGTTACAAAGTGTGTCCTTCTCTTTTACTTCAGGCTCAGGCGGTAGCCCTGACGGTAGCCCAGGCCTTCACGGTAGCTTTTGAGCTCTGGCAAGTGGCCAAGGAAGGTAAAATGACAAATGACATGCACACACACCAGTTCACACAAGCACTTGTCTTCGGCGGAGTTGTTTTATCAGCATCTGAGACTGCTCGTGTTTGTAGTAAATCAGCCTTGATTCGGCAAGGACGCCGATATCTGGTGCATCGTTGCAGTAAACAGGTCTTGACCTGCTTTTGTGGTGTCTCTTTACAGCTCATCTCATTTCTATTTTTTTTTTTTGTTTGTTTTTGCTGTTGTTTTTTTTTTATAGAGAAAGGGAAGAGAGTGAAGTCTGGGTCCGCTGGAGAGGCCAGCAGCAGTTCCCGTTCAGAGAGATCGAACAGCATCGGGAGTCTGAAAGGAACAGGTAAAAAAAAAATCTGTGTTTTAAGCACACAAAGCTTGTAGCCACATCACTGGAGTGTTTATTATGTCATTTTTGTTGATAACATGGCAGAGTTTATTCCACATTTACAGGTATACACTGCTCACAAAAATTAAGGGAATCATCAGGGTCTAACAC